TAACTAATACAGGATAAACTACTTACATAAACCTGTTATGTTTCCATTTTGATCACTTATATCGTGTGCCTCATCACCAAGTTGGTTACCTGGATTCTCGTTTTGATTTTCTGTCGAGGTTCTCCGGTCGGGTTATCGGCTAAGTTGGTATGACTATCTGAAGTTGGATTGGTTGAATTACCAGTTAAGTTATTACCATCACCTTGTTTGGTTGATATGTTGCTTCCTCCTTCGTTCATCATATTCATTGTTTCATTCTTTTTTCCTTTCCTGGTTCGACCTTTCACTGATTCGATCGTTTGGCCTGGTGTTGGCTCTCTAGGTGGGATACTTTCTGGGACTGACGATGGGTTAGGGTTTGACATTTTTGGAGTGAAGTTGATGGTAATATGATGTAAATGATCAAGATTTGAACGATACTGAGTATGAGGTGTTATGATAATTGGATAGAAATTCTTGATTGTAATCTAAGTGTCTATCTGGTTTTATGTTATGATTGTTAATTTCGTGATGAAATTTTTCTTTTCGAGGTATGGATTGTTTTGAACTAGTTTCTACTTGTTGGTTGTTGAATCTGAGATGTTTTTATTTTAAGAAAAGAAAAATTCTATAAGAAATTGTGAGACTTCCTTACTTTCGTTTCTTGCTTAACTATTATGTGAGTTAATGATTCGGAAGGAAAATTTTTGGTAAGGAATATTTTAATTCCTTTACCAAAATAGTTTCCGTTGGGGAGATTTGTTTCCCCAACTCTCCTCGGTACCGATGCTGCCCGAGCTCTGCTCGCCTTTCCCTTTTTCATGGAATTACGCAGGTGCCGTCGTGCCTTTGGGCACCTGCAGCATTGATTCAAGGTTCGAACCTCATGCACAATTCATCTCCCATCCGGTGGTCAAACTCATTTGGCTTTCTTTAGCAGGAACCATCATACCATCTGAACACGAGTCACAAGAGGATCAATCTCGCGTCTTTAATTCAGCGAAGGACTCGGATCTTGAGTAAAGTGCTGGTGTGACGCCAGCATCTTCACAAAAGAAGAAGACAGCTGTAAGTCCCACCAATATAACCCAATTTTTTGCAAGGCTGAGCTTGCAAATCTGATGCTCGCAATATTTTTCGTAGTTATTGTTGATAAAATACGGAAATCAGAGAAACAGAGACCTTGGTAGAATCAAGTATGTAAGTGACCACATGGAGTGACATGATCAGGGCTGAAGCATCCGGGTAAATCGCGCAATGAAAAATGACAAAACCAATTGACATAGATGGGAGGGATTATAATGCGTAAAGGGGAGTACCTAATTGAGACTTGTGTTCTGTATGTTGGTGTTTCTCACCATATACAAGATGAAATCCAAATCTTACAGTTTCAAAAAAAGCAAGATTTTTTTGACGAGCCTCACATCAGACTTACCACAGTTTGCAAAGATCATGTCGTGGTGTTCCTTTGTGAGTTTATCCTCCGTTTTACTCATATTTGATATGGCAGCATTTGAGTGGCAAACATGAAAAAAATCTCAAGTTTATTCATTGATCCTTGAACATCACAACTACCAGATCTTTCTTTTGATCATTTCTTGATTGGGCCCAACATCTCTTCATTTTATCAGGTCTTGCCGCCTTTGATATATGTATGTAGGGATTATATAAAACTAATGATATTCTCCTTGAAATGATGACCTCTTCTTGGTCTCTTTCAGGGCAAATTGTGTTGGGGGTCTCCTATGAATTCTATCTTGATGAACTCCTACGATATATATTTATGAGCTCAATTCCACAACTAACTAGTTACAAAACCTTCTTACAAGATTCACATAATGCTATCTAGTTAGAGTCTTCATCAATTTTCTGCGCACATATGTCACAGTGGAGATAATTGATGATCAAAGACTTGCAAGGCAACATTGGGATAGAATGACTAGGATCCCGTTCGCGTTGCAGGTTGTGGTGCATTGGTTGGATGATAGACGCCAAGAGAAGAAGAGAGTAACCTAGAAATGAAAACCGTCGTACAGAGCAGTTCTAGGGGTCCAAATTGATTGATGATCATACCGAGGTTATAAAACCGAGGAGAGAATAAGTGATGTGTGATTTTATTTGGCTGCCCTGAAGGTCAATCAGACGCGGCACTTGGCAATCTACAATTTAGAATACCGTGATCCAAACGATCGCCTGTTATGGTGACGTCTAACCAGGCGTTTGCTTTGCTGCACCTTCTATAAAATCTGGATTGTTCAGCTCTTCTTTCTTCCTATCCTCATCCGCTCTTCACCTTCACCTGTAAATTTAACTATCCGCAATCAACTCATCAATTATCTTTCTGTATACTCAGCATTCAATCCTCAGTTAATCACCTTTGTAAAATATTTCTATCAATCAGTTTACCGCTTCTGTTTACTCCATAATTCAACCAGTTTTTTTTAACTCAAACCATTTAATCGTTCATATTCCACTTTCAAAACCATCAATAAATATGCTTCTCAACGCTTCCTTTATTGCTGCCTGTCTGCTTTTGGTCAACGTATGTCAAGCCGCACCAGTTAGCGCACTCGGGAATCACGA